TTTTCCTCCTTTAGAATATTCTTCTTCTTTTCTTATGATCTTAAGAACTTTTGAGACCACGAACAGGGTGTTTTCCACTGAAAATAGAAGGGTTGGTGTTGATGATGAAGTTCTCGAGATTCAGAGTTCCTATATATAACCACGGAATAACTGATGGCTGTGCGTATAAAACCAGATTCTGCGGCTTTTGCAAAGTGGTTTGGAGTTCTGTGGGACTGTGGGAGCCAATGGTTTTTTTATTTTTCGTGGGATAAGCCAGGGTTGGCTGGAATGACTGTTCTGGCCTTATTGTTGTCCCAATATTGCAAGTGGATCGGATTGGGTTTGTCTTGTGGAGAATCCAAACCTAGACCACATAAAGCGGGAGTAAGTGAATATCGACATTTAAACAAATCTGAGAAAGAGAGAGTCGTAAGAGCGCCATATTGTATACATATAAATACTTAGAGTAATTAATGTTATGTAACCCAAAATTAAAATTCTAAATAGCATCTCAAATTAATAAAGATAATTAAATCAGTAAGTATAATTTTAAAAAAATTAATGATACCCACTTATCTAATGGACTTCATTCGTTTGGAATCTTATATTTGGGTTGTATAGCATTTTTCAAAATTTTAATATAAATAAAATGTAAAAAATTAAATTTCACGCAGACGCACAACTATGAGACAAACGATATAATTTTTAAATATATGTTAATTATAAAGTTCTAAAATGATAATTATATTTTATAAATATTATTCTAGTTTAATATGAATTTTTAGATCTGAATCAGTACTTACCAAATAAAAATTTGAGTAATAATAAATAAACATGTAAATAAGTAAGAGCGCAAATTAGCCGAATTCTCGAATTGAAAATTTGAATTTGCCAATTTTGTAAAATCATTCCCTAGCGCTAGAGCCTCAAGAGTTTAGAAGGATTTTGTGACTACGATTGGTTCATTCCATAGCCGTCTATTTATGTTCGTGTGTAATCGGGTTCATGTCAACTATAAATCGTATATAAATCATGTTTAGCGGTTCACCTTTTATCAATATTAAAACATAAGTCATGTTTAATTGAATTTATATCAATTTATTTATTTAATAAGTTTAATAGGTGTATTCGTTTATTTTCCAAAACCGTTAAAACTCAACCCAATTTTGTTAATTCTGTCTCAATTTCATGTTAAATTCATGGATCGGTTTAAAATTATGAGACTTACTCATAAGTTAACGTCAAAACCAAAAACTAGGCGGGTGAACCGATGAGCACATGGTTTTGCTTTAAAAAATCCATTTTCGCCCAGAGAAATGGGACGAAACCAGTTGCATTGTTGCTTGTTTAGGTTGGCCCTACGTCGTGGGGTAACCGATAGGGTAAATCACATAAACTTAGTCATTTATTTGATTAAAATGAATTAAATAATTGAGGGAATAAATTAAAAAAATTAAAAGTTGAGGGTGTTCCCACCTTCCCTTCCTCTTTTCTATGCAGGGGCTCTGTTTGTGTTTACTGCAGAACCGCCATCCTAATACCAGTCGAACCTGTAATGTGTCCCCAGGCAGCATTAAACATTGCTATAAGAATTGAAAGTGGCAACACTTTGGTAGGAGATATATAAAGAGAGGGAAGCCTCAACAAACTTCAAGCAATAGAATAGAACAGTGTTCTTCCTCCCTTCTCTCACGTATTCTTTGGAAAATATTTCGGCGTTTATCTAACTCTCTTTTTTGAGTGGTAGATTCTATTTCGACACGCCGGAAATTGCACGTACTGCCGAAAAAGTTATTCATCATCACTCCTTACATTATTTCTCATCACCATTTGCCTCGGGATCACCGACATTTCAGGTAAATCTTGTATTCACTAAAATAGAAATTTGTCAGTTTATTTTATTGTGCAAAAATCACCGCGCACAGTTATCATTAATATGTAGATATGCAGTATCACTAACTAATTATACACTAATACTATTAGAACATAATTTAAAAATATAATTTAGAGATTTAATGTATTGTGATCATTAAATTAATAGTAAATTGTATTTAATGTTAGGACTCATTGACAATTCAATGTCCACGATCATTAAATCCTCAAATTATATACCGATAGCATTGCTCTTAACTATAAGCCAATAAATATGCCTAATGAACCACAAATAATCCAATGTGGCAGTACACTATTATGGACTTATGGTTACAACTAATTGGGAACGTGGTCAATTGATCAGATTCTCCCAAATTGTAGTTTTTCTTTATGCATAGATGTAGGCAAATTGAAAACGAAAGTTAAGTGCTCATGTTCTCTTTCTTTTTTTTTGGTCAAAAAAATATAATTTTATTAACTAAACAAAAACATAACCCAACAGCCATTACATACTCTTGCACTCAACCTATTCCCACTCTAAACTTCTTGCCTAATGATACCCATCAACACTCTTGGAACAACATCTATCCCCTAAAAGTGGACAGAACCCCTTCTGGGATGAGCTACTAAACTATGAGCCCCCTTGTTTTGATCTATTTTTACTGCTTGAAACTCTATGAAAGGAACTAGTATCACGTAGTTCCTAATATCCTGTTGGATAGGTGCAATCTCCCTTAGTCAATCAACACAACCTCTATGCATGGAGTCAATGAGTTGCTTCGAGTCAGATTCAATAACTACTTATCATACATCTGCTCCACAGCTAACTGACATGCTCTCCTAACCAAAGCGGATGATGCCACCAGTCTTTGAGCCAAACCTAAGATAAAGCGTCATTCATGGTCACAAACCAAAACAAAAAAAGCACATTCCTTTGTCTCTTGGAGCAAAGCTCCATCACAGTTAATCTTTAGCAAGAAGGATTATTGGTCTCTGTTCTTGTCTCCTTGCCATCCTTCAACTCTTCCACAGCCTGCACAACTCTATTCATGACATTTTTACAATTGGACTGCTGATTGTTGAATACCTACTCATTTCTTGCCTTCCATATGAACCAGCACAAGTATACCATGATAGCTTGGCCCTCCTTTTCTCCTTCATCTCTATTTCTCATCATCTATAGTTTGCTCATCAACCAATTCTTTATTCTATTCACCTCATATCTATCAATCCTGATATTTAAAGGACACATCTTCCATACATTTTGAGCCCACGGGCATATTAAGAGGAGATGTTCAATGGTCTCATCCTCCTCCCTACAAACTGGACAAATGAGAGTATTAGAAATTTTCTTTTTCCACAAACCCCATTTAGTTGCTAAAGCCTCATTTGCAACTTTCCACATAAAAGGCTGTATTTTGGGGAGACTTGAGTTTTCCAAAGGATTTTCCATAAATCTTCCGGTACTTGATAGGAGGAGGATGCCTTTGCTCTAGCTTGGGAAAGGTTTTCTATAAATCTTCATGTTCTCAAGAGATGCATCATGGGTTTAAATTTGAAACTCTTTATCTTTGAAATTGGGTAAAATTGCCTACAATATCCTTTGTAGAATAGAATCTTATGCACTGCGGATAAGAGTTTTTTATTTATTTTTTGATAGTGATCATCTAAAAGTCATATTACTTAATATTTCAAACACTTCTTAAAAATAGATTAAAATTTTTAATAGTAAATTACCTACTTATCACTTAATGCTAAAAATATTAGGTGTTAATGATTTTATCAATTTCTCATAATATACAAATATATTTTTAATGCATTTTATACTCTTAACTTTTACATATCCCCCACCACCATTGTGTCACCGTTGCCACTGCCACCGCCGTTATTACCATCACCACTGTCAACCCTATTATTATGCCTCAACCGCTATTGTGTTATTGCCACCGTTGCCATTGTGCCACCAATACTAATATTGTGTCACTGCCGCCACTACTATTGTGCCACTACTGCCGCCACCACCACTATCGGCGTCACCACCATTGTATTGTCATCATCACCACCACCACCATTAGTGGTAGGAATAAGATAGTTGTTGAGAGATTGTTAAAAAGAAATAAAAAATTAAAATAATAATAATTTTCAGACTTCAGCTATTTATATTTATCAAACAATTTGATTTAATTCAATATTCATATTTCAGTTGATACCAAAATAATTTGTGAATTAAAAAATTTAGCATTCAATACTTAAAATTCAACATTCAATTTTATCAAACACCATCTTAAAGATCTTTTCATAATACAACCACCTTGTTCTTATCAACCTTCCTTGCCAATATAACCACACAACTATCAGATAATAAACGTAACCCAATTGACTTGAGTTTTTTTTTTTTTGCTATTGATTGACTTGAGTCTGATAAGAAAAGTTAGTAGTAAAAAAAAGTTGATAAAGGAGAGACAGAATTTGGGAACATCTGGTAATAGTAAAGATAAGATTGTTCTAGAAGTGTCTCAAGGATTTGAGCAGTGGAAACAGACTTTTTGTGTGCAAGAAAATTTCTATGTAAATCTGGCCTTTTTCATACTACACTCGTACCCTGCAATTGACTGCAGATTACTATAGTGAGTGATAACACTCTGGTCATCAAACTCACTTTGATTTAGGGAGTACCACTATGGCAAAGACACGCCTTCTTCGAACATATTAGGCACCACAAAAGATCTCTTAACTTGAGGTTTTACCCAACGCAAGGTAGCAGCATATGCTATGACTAACTCTCTTCAACTGAGTTGGGTCAACTGTCCCCGTGCCGAGTTGAAGGTTTTTTTGTATTCGAATTGTAATCAAGTTTCTCTTTGAATGAATTTTTCAGTTTTAATTGCTCAATACAAAACCAAAAAAAAAAAAATACTACACTCGTACTTTAAGCCGCCCGACCCTTTTGAGTTACAAACTAGTCGTTTTAGAGCTTAATTTGCAGTGGGGAAATACTATTTATTTTCACTAATCCTTCAATAATGTTCCAAAACAAGTACTCTTTCTATTATGGAGAATACTGTTCTTAACATATATACACAATGACCTTCAGAGAGCAAAAATGACGGGTATGGGTTCAATTAGGACCCCAACAACTCAAATACATGATTTTTCTCAGAGACTCCTCGGACTGTTCTGATTTCTCTTCTCTCACTTTACTTGAAACCATTGCAGAAGATTGAGATTCAGAGAGCTTCCTGGTCTGAGAGAAGGACCTGAGGTTGTTCTTGACATGCTGGTGTAGCGATCTTATGGTGTAATTCCATCTACAGAATCCTTGATCTTTCAGTGCCTCCACAGCTCCAATACTGCCTGCCACAATCCATGCCCTGCTTGTTGAAACCATTTTTTTTTTCCTCCTTTAGAATATTCTTCTTCTTTTCTTGTGATCGTAAGAACTTTTGAGACCACGCAAAGGGTGTTTTCCACTGAAAAATAGAAGGGTTGGTGTTAATGATGAAGTTCTTGAGATTCAGAGTTCCTATATATAACCACGGAATAACTGATGGCTGTGCGTATAAAACCAGATTCTGCGGCTTTTGCAAAGTGGTTGGGAGTTCTGTGGGACTGTGGGAGCCAATGGTTTTTTTTTATTTTTGGGGGGATTAGCCAGGGTAGGCCGGAATGACTCTTCTGGCCTTATTGTTGTCCCGATATTGTATGTGGATATTGGGTTTGTATAGTAAAGTATCCAAATCTAGATTACATAAAGTGTGAGCTGGCGCGAGAGCGCAAAAAGTTAAGGAGCACATATATTTAAAATTTTATATTTGGATTGTATAGTATTTTAAAAGTTTAATATAAATAAAATGTAAAAAATTAAATTTCACGCAGACGCAGAACTATGAGACAAATGATATAATTTTTAAATATATGTTAATTATAAAGTTCTAAAATGACAATTATTTTTTATAAATATTATTCTAATTTAATATGTATCTTTAGATTTGAATCAGTACTTACTAAATAAAAATTTAAGTAATAATAAATAAATATGTAAATAAGTAGGAGCGCAAATTAGCCGAATTCTCGAATTGCAAAATTGAATTTGACAATTTTGTAAAATGATTCCCTAGCGCTAGAGCGTTAAGAGTTTAGAAGAATTTTGTGACTACGATCTAAATTGGTTCAATCCATAGCCATCTATTTATGTTCGTGCGTAGTCAAGTTCATGGAAATTATAAATCGTGTTTAGCGGTTCGTATTTCATCAATATTAAAACATAAGTCATGTTTAATTGAATTTATATTAATTTATTTATTTAATAAGTTTAATAGGTGTATTCGTTTATTTTCCAAAACCGTTAAAACTCAACCCAATTTTGTTAATTCTGTCTCAATTTCTTGTTAAATTCATGGATCGGTTTAAAATTATGAGACTTACTCACAAGTTAACGTCAAAACCAAAAACTAGGTGGGTGAACCGATGAGCACACGGTTTTGCTTTGAAAAATCCATTTAGGCCCAGAGACATGGGCCGAAACCAGTTGAATTGTTGCTTGTTTAGGTTGGCCCTACGTCGTGGGGTAACCGATAGGGTAAATCACATAAATGATCCCTTAATTTTAGTTTTTTGTTTTAAATTCCACCCTCAACTTTTATTTTTTTTTAATTTATCCCCTCAACTATTTAATTCATTTAAATCAAAGTCTTCTATTAAATACTGGCGTTAAGTGAGGATGAAACCCTAATGTGAATTGTAGATGGAAGCTGATGGAGGGCATTTTCAATATTTCAAGTATTATGTACAATTGGGCTCCAAAATCTCATTCTCCTTCTCTTCTAGGCTGCATGCTTTGTATACCTACCTTCATCTCCCTCCCATCGTTTGATGCATGCTCTATAATTCGAAGGTATCAAAATGACTTGGTTATTGCGAACAGTGGGTGTTGTCTTCTATCCAGAACAAGTGTCCTGTAAGTGTTTAGACGTGATGAGCCCTGACCCCAGTTGGGTGGGCCTAATCCATGGAGTAAGCTCAGATAAGTTAGAAAGTAAGTCAAGCCCAGCTCATGACCTCAGTTCAATCCAGAGTTCAAGAGACTCAGAAGATCAATGCACGTGTGAGGAGTAAACATCGGGATAATTACTTGAAGATCGAGATTATCTTTAATTGTATCTATTATTAGCTGTAGTTATCCTTTCCGAAGGATTAGTCACCTATCCTTTTACGCCACCGCCTCAACTAAGACTCTGTGATCATAAATTGTAAGTCATCTACACATAAGGGACATATCTCTTCACACTTTTTACACAGCTACATCTCTCAGAACTACGTTTCCACACCTATAGCTTACTTTTGCTCCCTCTCTCTCTCCCACTTGCTATTTTATCAATAAAATTCTTCGGCCACCGTTGTCGTCTTCAAAGTAGAGTAGATTATTTTGACCGAATTACTATACATTTATGTGTTGATTGTGTTGATTTAACCTTTATATTTACTGCACTTATTACCTATATTAATTACTCGACAGGTGGTGTATAAATTCACTTTTATGTATCATCAAGACTAATTCCTTTAAATTTTTGTTTTGTTTCTGGAACAAATGTACAATTGTTACCTTGCAGACAATGGGTGTTGGGTATAACATCCAACAAGCATTAGTTTAGTCATTGTTAGTATTTTAATGTCATTTATTCATGAAAGTATGATACATGGTTTGTATTTTATATTTTACTTTTGCGCGGGATTCATAATTTGTTAGCAGGTCTATACCCCAATTTCTTCTCTATAGAGATGCATTTTTGTGGTAAGTTCAAGTTTATGCCCTACACAGTATACAAGGAGGGAAAGTTAACCATTTGGAGTCGTGTGACTTTGTTAAGATCTCTCTCCCTGAGACAAGTGAAATGACAAAAAAATTATAGTGTGAGAAGGTTATGAGTTATCACTATAGAATTCTTGGGATGGATCTCACCGAAGGTTTGAGGGATTTTTGAATTTTGGCATTGATGTATTGGCAATGCTAGAGTGGGTTCCCAACAACAAGGTAACATAAATATATGTAGAACATGACTTGGTTGATGAAGATGAGGTTAATGAGAATGGTGCACAAGAACGTATGGTGCATTCAATGGTGACCATTCAGATGCATCAAATTATGAAGAATTCTCTGATATTGGTGAGGAAGAAATTGAAGATTACTTGTTTCACTTTTAGCACGTGTTAAATGTCATGTGTTTTCAAATGTCACGGGACTAAATTGACATAAAATATAGTTTAAGGATTTAATTGACACAGATGATATAGTTCAAGAACCAAATAGATAGTTAACTCTTTAATGAAGACTCATGACATGTGACACGTGCTAAAAGCAATAAAGGACAATTTTGGTAAATACAGTATCTGTAGTTGAGCCAGAGATAATCCAATTGAACAAAGACGATCCAATTGAACAAACGTTAATATTAGCCGACCAAAATTAGAATCACCATCACCAAACATTGTAGCTTGCAAAGTCTCCAAGCTTGTGATACACACTGAGCAAGTGCAAGACTCAATGAATCAAGAGTCCGAGTGAGACTTTGGTTCCACAATTCTAAGCGATAAAGATTAGATCTGGCCGAACAGAGGATGGTTAAGCTATTATTAAGGAAATTACCTATTTTAAAGGTGCACATTACAAACATAGAAATGTTCAATCACAGATTTCGGAAATATCCGTCTAAAAAATAGTTGTGTTTGATGATGCACAAATTTGTCTCGTGCAAGATCAACAGTCGAGTATATGAACAAGTGTAATTAATAAGCAATAAATAAGATAATCAATAACAAAATGGTAAATAAGAGCAAAACACATTGATTTATAGTGGTTTGGTCCGAGTGACCTACTCCACTCTAAAAAACGACAACGGTGGCCGGAGATCTTTATTAATGAATAAAAGTCATAAGGAGAGTACATTTCCGGGAGAATTACAATGGTAAGGAGAGAAAATCAATGTGTGTAGGGAACTCAAAGTGTAGAGGCCTCAAGGTCATGCCCTTTCATGTGGAGAAGACTTACATTATATTAGTTTGGTGAGACGATGAAGTGAGGGAGAGGGCTTCTACTATTTTGATAAGTACAATTATAGTAAGATTTGATCTCCATGAGGCGTATCCCGATATTCTCTCCTAGGGGTGTTCAAATTTTCGACCGGCCTCAAGTTCCTACCCTATCCGATCCTATCCTACCCTACTGAACAGCTAGCCGCAAAAATCGGATAGGAATGCGGAAGAGTTTTTGGTCTTCCGACAATTTTTGGGTAGGAATGCGAAATATTTATCCATTTCCGCATTCCCACCCCTACCCTACTCTACCCGCAATAATTTTTTATATATATATATATATATATATATATATATATATATAAACTAAAAAAACCCTAAACTCTAACCACAGGCAGAACAATTATGCTTTTAATGTATTTCATATGGTTTAAAGTTTAAACTTAAATTAATTGTTATTGTATTTGTGTAACAATTATGGTGGATTGATGTTCATATTTTCTTGTGTTTTATTATAATTCATGTTGTAGTTGTTTTAGATTTTAGTGTTAATTGATTTATAATGTTGTTAAATTAGTGTATATTATTTAATTAAATTGTTAAAATGATCCAAAAATTAATTTTTACAAAAATATTTACCTGATTTTCTACCCGATTAATCGGGTAGGAAGTCGGGTAGGAATACCACACCTGTCGGGTAGGGTAGGTCAAGAAAAAACTCTTTCGCAAAGTATCGGGTAGGAAGACGGAAGAGTATATTTCCTACCCGTAGAGTAGGGTGAACACCCCTATTCTCTCCCACGTGCTCTTATTCCTTTGAGCTTCCTAGATCCTGAGCTGGGTCGGACTGGGTTGGAGTGGCAGAGTGTGGAGGACGAAGGAGAGACTGGAGGGCTAACCCATAGGTTGCGCCAGGGGCTTGGGTGACCCCATTGGGTGTCTCTTTTGGGCTTTGGTGACTTGGGCTCCTCTTGGTGCTGTGTCTTGGGCCTCATTAATTTATTGGGTCTGACCCAATTGATTTCGGGTTCATCAGTGTTACTCTATTTTAACCAAGATTATAAATCTTAAAAAGCGAATATACACTCTTTTTAAAATTGGATGAGATTATAAATTTCCGTCTGTGACAGTGTGTTCGTTTTACGAGGGGAAGGTGCACAAACTTTGCTTAGTCAATCGTTCAATATGTTGGTATAAATTTGTTTGGATCTTGAGATTGAACAAAAGTTTTGAAAAATGTTTACCACCACTCTTCTGGTTCTATGGCTGAAGCTGTAAATGAGCTAATGTGCACCATCAAAATCAAAAGATCTAAGAAAGTGACTTTAAAAAAGAGCTGTCATCTATCAAATTATACCCTACAAACCTACTTGTTGCCCAATTCTATGGCAAGCAAAAGGAAGAACAGTCAGGGGGGAGAGAGAGAGAAGAGAAGAAAAAGAACATGTTCTATCATCATGGCATATTGCTAACTCAGGGCGTTTGAAAGCATGCTAAATCTTAGCCAAAAATTACGTGTTATTCTCGAATCATGTCCTGTCACATGTATCTGGATTTGAAATATTTTTAAAAGTTAAAACTTTTTTTTTTTTTTTTTTTATCATTACACCATTTTGAAATATTAGAACAACTTTCACTTTATACTTAGTAAGGTTTCAAGTTTCTTATTTTGTACTTTTAAAGATTAAATTTATCATATTACATTTTCAATATATCAAAAGTATTAAAATGTGACCATTCTGTTAACTTTTTATTAGTTTTTTCGTTAGTGTCAATGAGATAATTTTTGAACGAAAAAAATAACAGAAACCAACAAAAAGACTACTTTATAACATTTTTGATATATTAAAAGTATAATGTGAGAAACATATAATCTTTAAATGTGCAAAGTGAAAAACTTAAAATTTTTCAAAGTATAAAGTTCTGAAATACCGAAACATTATAGTCATGAAAATAATTTTTTCCTACAAAAAAAATAGTCCTAATAGTTCACCTAATCATGATCTTTGCAGGTACAAGGAGGAAGATTATATACTTTCAACTTTCAACTTATATTTTAAAAAAAATTAAAATTCTCATGTTATAGCCTCAATCATATGCAAAGTAGCAATCCATTTTAATAAATTTGATTAAAAAATTCTCGTGTAAAATACTTGTAATTGAGTAATGTAGAAATAATTGTAACCAAAATAAAAGAATACAACAAAAAATTTATCAAAAAGAAAGTGATAGAAGTCCTGTTTTGGACCACATTGGTATCTTCTTCTACGATTAAGGGTTCAATGAGGAACTTTGAATCTTTGTTGTATTTTATTGTATATGTATTGCCCTTGAGAATTCTTGTAATCAGTTAAGATAGTGATTCACACCGGTGATCCTTCGAATAATCCTGTAAACTATGGGCAAAGTTAGAAAAGAGGCCGGATGAACACTCAATTTATATTTTCTGAAGTTTAAGTCAGTCAGCGTATAAGTCTGTAGAGTATTCAATGCATAGTATTTTTAGTTTGTATACTTTTATTTTATATTTTTAGTTTGTATACTTTTATTCCTGTCATATATATATCATGTATAAGTCATATTGTGTTAAAATTTATTTAATATATAAACAATATATTTATAATCACATGTAGTTATGGTCGTATCTACATTAGCGACTTCTTGTTAATCCCTTTAATGAGCATGGTAGATTGATCTATTTAGACAGAACTCATTTTTGATACAATAAATTGAGATTTTGAATTTAGATTATTAATAAAAAAAATTATTTATATATAATTAATTAAATTTAAATTCAAATCAAATCTAACCCTTTAACAAAACATACTTAGCAGAATCACCATGCCACCACCAACCAAACTTGGGATTAAATATTTACGGTAGGGGTGTCAAAATATGAAATGATCCGTTAATATGATGCGAATACGACATAAAATTAAAAGACTTGAATCTTACTTAAGTCACGCAATGTTTTTATGTTGACTATATACGATTATACACGATACGAATTTGATATGTCATAATTTATTAAATACAAATTAATAACCAAAATAAATATAAACAAAATATTTTTTTGATACGATCTTATTAAAACTTGACACAAACTTACATCAATTGACACGATAGATAGGTTTATCAATGACACGTGGTAGGACTGGCCGAGGGAAGTAAAGGCAATCGAACATAAAATTATAAGTAAATATTTAATGCAACATTAATAATAAAATATCAAGTGGATAAACTAAATTTTATTTTGATAGTTATTAACTTACATAAGAATTATTAATTTGTGTGGAATTTATTTTTATTTTTATATTATTGATCGATGATGTCATGTGACAATATTGACATTATATCATTGTTTTTTTTTTTTTTTTTGCTCTTGAAAAAAAACGGTGGAAGCTAAACAGAGCATCCAAAGACTATCCAAATAAAATTTCACTAGTGGGACCATGAGATTTTTGATCGCATGAATTAATTATTTCTCTCATAAATGAACCTAAGTAAACTAGCATAAAGTTCAACTATCGAATCCTAAGATTCGAACCTCCGACATCTAGGCGATAGGTTTGGACTTCATATTTTCTCCAAATTGAGCTAATCTCGCCAATTTAAGCATGTGAGCTATCTCATACCCAATATTCAGATCAATCAAAAAGTCAAATACTAATGCTCTGTTTCGTAGGAATAATAGAAAGTAAGAAGGATGAAAAGTAATAAAGATACACTTTCTATCATTCAGAGAAGAAAAATAAGAATGATACTCTCTGTTTTTTTTGTGTTTGATTGGATAAATGAAAAATAAAAATGAATAATTTTTTTTTTGCTGGCTAAAATTAAAGGTAACAATCGAGTCGTGTCGTGTTGAGTCATTACGGATTTGTGTCGAACATTAATCACACTTAACTCAACTCATTTAATTAATTGTGTCGTGTCGAGTTGCGAGTTGACCTATTTATTTTGAGTTTCACTGATTGAACCGAATATGAGTCTTTTATATTTCTTGTTTGCTTCTCATGTTATTTTTAAGTTCGTGTCGAGTTAAAATCAAGTTCGTTTCATAAAATTTATATCGAGTTCAAGTCGTGTTGAGTCAAAAATTTTGACCCTTAGTTAAGATGAAAAAATATAGTTTTTAAAATTTTTAATTTTTAAATTTTAAATTTTTTTAATATATATATAAATACATATTTTATCATTATATTTTTATATAAAATTAATATACATTGTATTTTTATATGAAATTAATGTATATATATAATATATATATATTAAAAATTATATAGACAAATAAGATATATCTTAATACAAATAATTAATTTTTCATCCACTTTTTTTTTATTTTTATAAAAATTAATTTTAATGAGTCAAAAAAAAAATTAATTCATTCACTTTTTTACCCCTCTTATTTTCCTTTTTTACCGCACATCATATTTTATTAATCCCTTCCAACTATCCGTGCTTCTATTTTTCCCCAACAGCGATGGTCTCAATAAACACACAAACACACGCATGACAACGATTCATCATTGGGGATGATTTCCATAATAGAAACCACCTAATAACTGCACGGCGGTGCCTGTAGACTCTCGCCGGCGAAGTGGGTCGGATTCCGGCGGGAAATAGAATGGCTGTTACAAGTGAGAGATCACTGTCTGAAGGGAAGGTTTGGAGTCTCTGCAGAATGCCATTTTGGCACTCCAGCAATGCTGATGGTTCTTCTTCATCTTCTTCTTCGCTGAGTGTTCACCACCAAAACCAGCTTGTCGATCAACCTGATGTCCATTCTCTGACTTTGGTCTCGTCCGTGGCAAAGTCTTTTCTTCCAACTCGGCGCCGACTCAGTCTTGATCCCCCAACAAACTCTACTTTCCCTGTACTTCTCTCCCCCTCTACTGTTGTGTATGTAAATGCTTCTATACGTACATTGCGCTTTCGGTGTTTCACTTATATGGTTTTGGCAGATCAAAGGCATATGATTGTGCTTTTTCTGCATTTTTTTGTGATGATTTGATGATATGGGTCTTCTTTAATCAGCCTATAATGCATGTATGTTTTGTTCCCACTGCACGATTTGTTGATTTGAATGTTAATTAGTTGTTTTTGGAGTTGACACGTTTCTATTGTTGATGTTCTTAGTTCTTGTGGCCCTTGAAGTTGATCATTTCTCAATAAGTTTGGGGAATGATTTATAAAGTCTAGGACATAGAAATTTGGATAAGGCTATTAATCTGGTTGGAAAAATTATAAAGTAATTAAAAATAAGAAAATAAGAAAATTTTATATGTCGCTTGTTTTTATTAGATGAAAAATAGAAGTACGGTATTGAAAAGTGACATTTAAGTAATGTAATTTGTAATTAACGGTAACTTTGGTGTCATGTCTGTTCTGTTTTCTGATTTCTTGAAAAATATTGATCTCTCTCCGATGTATTTGAACTGTCGTTTGATGAAGATGAGCCTGGTAAACAAGTCAAGAGTGCAATCAGGATCAAAAACATCAGCAAGTCTCATGTAGCTTTCAAGGTATGAAATATACTTTCGCTATTAGTTTCTTTTTCTTATCAAGTGATATATGTGTCAAATAGTTTAGTATGTTCATTAATTCTGATGGGTTTTGAAAATTGGAAGACTGTGCGGTTAGTTGAACTCCTATTCAAGGCAGGCCTGCCATACCCAACTGACTTATTTGACATTAGAGGTGGAAAACTATTTTGGGCATAGATTAGCCAAAGTTTACAAGAATTTCTTCAGAAAATATAAATAGAATCCTGTATGGGAAATTCAGTTAAAATGAGCTGAAATTGAGAGTTTAATTGAAGAACTGGAATAGTGTTCACCCATTTTTCAATTAAAAGCTACATCTATAGACTGATTTTAGTGTATCTCCTATATTTTCATCATCGTACTTGTTGTGCAGTTATGCTACAATTTGTTTCCCTTAATGTTAATTGACTTTGTTGTTAATTTCTTGTTTTCCTATTTTTGTCATTACTGCTATTTACCAATCAGGCCACATCTAACTGGTGGTGCCTTTGTGTTTCCTCAGTTTCAAACAACTGCACCGAAGAAGAGTTGTTACATGCGCCCTCCTGGTGAAATACTTGCTCCTGGTGAAAGTCTAATTGCAACTGGTAACATTATCCTTCTTGATCTCTATTTTCTTTTTGATGTTG